ACATATTGGGGTTCCTCTTGGGACTGGCCAGCTGCGCCTTTGTCACCTGCACAACAGCAGAATCAGTTGCTGCTCCATCCATGTCCAAAAGACACAGCGGCCGGGCATCAAGAAGACTTCAAGAGAAGCCTACTACTGCCGTTGTCTGCCTAACGAACCCGGCGGCACTGACTGCTAATGCAGCACCATTCAAGTGGGAACACAAACTGCAGGAGCACAGACTTGCCTGCATAGAACCCAAAACGCATGGTCAACCTAGCATAAGTGTGGCCTTCAGTATATGGCACATGCTACGATGCAGCTAGGTAATCGATATCTTGTACTGTGGCTGGGTTTGCAGGGAAGGTGAATGGCAGAAGATCGTTCACGCTATAGTTGGCACTGAAATGGGCAACGGGATTTTGCCGGTTAGACTGTCATTGGCACCTGTGTTCTTGATGGCCATTTTGGTCTACAGCCTTTTGTAGGCTGTTAGTCGATGCGCAGGATGGGGGCAATGGACAGACACGTCGTTACCCTTTTTATTGACTAGATAGTTCAGCATGCGATTCCAAGAGGATTTTTACGGTATTTTATCGTTTGGATTCAAGATTGCAGGAAATTCACCCTTTTCTATATCCCTTGCAAAGGGTTGTCTCTCGCAGATGGGAATGTACGCCGTTTGGCGTCAGGTGCTTTTCGATATTCTGCGGAAGTATTTCTGCCTACAGCACTTTAGCTTCTCCCGGATTGCCGTTGATGCTGTCCCTGTCTGTAAGTGTGTAGCCGTGTCGGTGGTGTAACGGTGCTTTACGTCCTAGCTGCCTGTTTTGGCATATTGAACCTTATGGCACTGGCTCACCTTAGTAGATCCCTCCCAATGAGTTGCTTGTCGTGGCACGCTTTTATATTCTTATTGTTCAAGAAAAGGTTTGGATGAGACGTGGTGCAGTCACTTGGGATTTGGTGCTGTGGCGTAATATCTTGCGCCGCCTGTCTCTTGCGCTGAGGCACCATGGCGTTTCCACAGTCATTTGAAGCAGACGAACTCGATCAATACTTCACCTGTCCATCAGCCTACCAGTTCGCATCTTGTTAGAGTAGCGGCCTGTTTTGTAGAGCGGCTGTAGTGAAATTCTTTCGACGTTAATTGGTACCATCCGTGTGACAAGCATCCTCGTTGCGACCTTTTTGCTGCCCAGTACTTCAATTTAAAGAATCAAACAAGTGGCCTAGGCCATTTGGGTAATAGACTTTTCACGGGAAAACTTGGTTCGCGTTGGGCATGCTCTTGGTTGTCCAGATCTTTGCGCGTGTTCGGTGACCCAGAACATCAGGGCTGGCTAGTGTCCTAGAGATGATAGCTAGCTAGCGACCTGCAAGGGGTCGCAACACTGGAGGAGGGCAGGACCATTCCAATAGGATTAAAATAAGAAAAACTGTCTATTAGTTCTAATGAATACGTGAAATGTGCGGAAATTGTGTGGAGACTGGGGCTGGCGATACCGCCGGCGCCAGTGCGGGCCTCCTCCGGGCCTCCTCCCCATGGGGCCTAGGAGGTGAGCTCCCAGAGTGGGGCGAATCGAACAGACAGATTTGAAACACTTAAGAACTGTTGTATTTCGATGGAATAAAGCTACAGTGTCCGAGAAATGGGGCTACGTTAGACGTAGTTTGTAGGCCTGCTCGAGGGGCAGGAAGCAGCGTAGTCGCAGCAGGAGGCGCCGCGCACTACAAGAACTTAGAAGGCACGAAGCAGGTATCACGAAAGGGATAAATCGACGAGTAGCTCAGTAACCTACAAAACTAGATTACGTATTTTTGGTCTGAAAGATCCTCTCAAAAGCTGGTAAAACTGAGAAAGTATTGCGCCAAGAACAAGCATAGTCGTCAAATCCGGCCAGAACTTATCTTCATCCCCTCCTGTTTATCCAGAAGGAATCAACGCCCGCCAAACAATTGCAGAAATCGTCTCGTTGATAGTTGTTTTTCCAAACGTTTGTTTAACTACCGAACATGTTTTCTCTCGTTTTCTTAGCACTTGCTGCTGTGTCTGTGTTCCGTGGACACATAACAGCAAATGCAAGCACAACAGGGACAGGAAGTAAGCGTTCTGGTCCTTTCCCACGCCCCCAAGCACAAATTTTGAAACTTTAGAATGGAACTCATTTGCATTCAGAGGTTTTGTGTGTACCGAATTTTCTCACCAGAAAGGCTTGATTGTTTATCCGAGATGAACGAGGCAAGGACAGCTGCGGGACTGGCCGAGTTTAAAGAGGCATCAGAAGATACGCAATTGCTGCCGGAACACTCCGGTACAAAGACGGCAGTAAAGCCTGCTGATTTATGGAGCCAAATCTGCCAAAAAATTATGGGGGTAAGCCGCTTTACGAACGCACTGCAATGCAAGTCCTGGCACACTACAGCCAATAAACATCTTGCAAATGATGGCGCATATAGCAAGAGACGCCATGTTTGCTCTGTTTCTTATTCCATTATCTGAAGACTGATGGCGAGAGCACTGAGGCAGAAAAGCTAGAGGGGACTTTCGCGTACTACGAGGGCGAGAATGACTGCAAAGCGGCAGTACAGTACTGGAAAGAAGGCATTTCTCTCTTCAATAACAAGATGCCCCCAAAATACCAGGCTCCGAACAACCCGAAGGTGTATGACAACAGGGCCGCCTCCTTTGTTGCCCTGTATAACCCCAAGGAGAACCCTGTGGCCAGCTGCGCCTTTGTCACCTGCACAACAGCAGAATCAGTTGCTGCTCCATCCATGTCCACAAGCCACAGCGGCCGGGCATCAAGAAGACTTCAAGAGAAGC